AGTCCCAGCACTCAGACAGTCTCTGGCAAGGGGGTCTAGGTCAGCCAGGGCTACACAGTGAGACATGTCATAAATAAACACTTTATACAATAATTGAACCCAAGAAGTATATGAAAGCTTCCTAAGTAACTGTGCCATTAATTCTCAGTTGTTTCTTCAACCATATTCATTTACTGCAGAAAGATTGACCACTCTCTGTCCTGGCAAATTCATTCCTTTGTAAAGTCTTCCTGTCAGGAAAGCCTTCCCCAATCTGACTACCTGGCAAACACATTCTCCTTTTGAATCTCTCCAAGCGTATTCTGTGAAGTTCCCAAGCAGAGACTGACTTACTACTCTCTCTCCTATACTGCCACCACTTTCCTTTGAAATGCTTTTATGTAAAGTAAGACACTGCAATTACTGGCTTTTATATTCATTTTCTACCAAGACTTAAAGATGTGCAAAGGTATGTGTCTACTGAAAAGTCCAGCACAACGTAGGCTACTATTTAACCAATTAACATAAACCAACATATTTAAGTATCTTTATTAAAAATCTTTGCAGAAGCCAGGAGTGGTGACACATGCTTTTAATCCTAGTGCCCTAGAGACAGAGGCAGACAGATCTCTGTGAATTTGAAGTTAGCCTGGTTTACACAGTGAGTTCCAAGACAGCCAGAACTACATAGAGAGTCTTTGCTGAAAACAAAACAAAACAAAAACAAAATACCTTAGCTCTCAAGCGGGTAGGACAGAACTGTTTGGAAGATGTTTATTTACCAAGTAAATATAAAACATAAACATGTGGTAGACAACTCAGGGGACACAAAGGCTTCATTTTATAAAATCTCACCGAAGGGAAGGACAGATATAGATTTATAGTTGTTTCAACATATGGTTCAATAAATACTTTAACAGAAATAAGAAGAGGTGGGTGGGAGGGGCAACACATGCTTCTACTCCTAGCACTTGGGAGCTGGAATCAGAAGGATCAATAATTCGACTTTGATTCTGTTTATACAGTGAGTTCATCTAGCTCAGCTGGCTTGTGCTAGATGAGACCCTGTGTAAAAACAAACAAACTAAAATCCAAAGCACACATACCACAGAAAGGGAAAATAAGGTAAGAGGGACAAGAGGAAGGAGGATGACAAGTGGTGCCCATCAGGAGGGAGGCAGAAAGTGAAAATAAGGGGGAAAGAAATTACGTGTGGTGGAAACTACAAAGCAGAAGCTGATTAGGTATGCTTGACAAGGGTCTAACACAACAAGCTGTCCCTTGATGAAGGGGTAAAAAGCACATTTCACAGAGTACGACAAGCAAAATGGTAAGAAATGTAAAATATCAGGAATTGTACTCTGGGTGGTGGTGGTGGTGCTGTACACCTTTAATCCAAGCACTCAGGAGGTAGAGGCAGGCAGATACCTCAGTTCCAGGACAGTCTGGTTTACAGAGTAAGTTCCAGAACAATCAGGGCTACACAAAACAACCACATCTTAAAAAAAAAACAACAACAACAAAACAATTGTAAAAGCTCCAAATACACGCTCGCACATAAAATATCCCCAGGTATTTGTGTCTGTCTGTCTGTCTGTCTCTATCCCTCGATACTATCCTGGCTAAATTTCAAGGGATAGACTCATAGACTCAGTCCTCTAGGTAAACTAACTCAACAAAGGAATTATCAATCATTAAAAGACATTGAATCTTACTTAACTCCACAAAGTAACCACTGAATAGGCTTGATATTAATTTTAGAATTATTCTAAAACAGATACAACATGGTAACACAGAAAAGGAATGATAGCAGTTGATATTAACTTAGTGACATACACTCTAACGGTGATTTCACATGTAATTAGTCCACTTAACCATCACCACGACTCTTAGATATCTGAGATACTGTATTATTAAACACCCTTTATACATGAAGAAACTCATCCTAGAAAGGTGAAGTACACTATCGCAGGTAGCAAAGTTAGTGACAGAGTCAGAACTCTCCTTTTTGCTCCAGAGCCTGGGTTTGTAAGTACTGTTTTTTGTGGATACACACGCACTACTCCCTCCCTGTGTCATACTCTAAATCACAGTATATAAAGTAGTTTCTGTGCTTGAAATTTTTTCTATATTACTCAACATTGAGTTAAAAACAAAACAAAACAAAAAATTCAACTGGGTGGTGGCTCACATTTTTAATCCCAGCACTCTGGAGACAGAGGCAGGCAGATTTCTGTGAGTTCGAGGCCAGCTTAGTCTATAAGAGCTAGTTCCAGGACAGACTCCAAAGCTACAGAGAAGCCCTGCCTTGAAAAACTAAAAAAACAAAAACATTAAAAAAATTAAATTGCAGTCAGGTGGTGGTGATGCATGCATTTAATCCCAGCACTCCGCAGGCAGAGGCAGGAGCTTCTAGTCTACAGAGCTAGGGATATACAGTGAGACTTTCATTTCAAAAAAGCAGAAACAAAATTAAATTGTGTTAAAATACATATAGCATCTTAACCATTTTCATGAACATCTATACTGATGTGCAACAAATGTCTAGAACTTTTTATCTTGCAAAACTTAAACTCTATACCCATTAAAAGAGTCACTACCATTTTACTTTACACCTACAAATCTGACTACCTTAAGTAATAAAAATGACTTTTAAAAATGCATTATTTTATGCACATGGGTGTTTTGCACACATCTATGTGTACCACTTTGGTGTCTGATGCTCTTGGTTACAGATGGCTGTGAGCTGTCATGTCACAGGACTCCTGGATTGAACCGAGGTCTTCTAGAAGAGTAAACAGTGCTCTAGCCCTCTTCCCTTTCTCGTTTGAGACTGCTATACAGCCCTAGCCGGCCTGGAACTGTGGCCATTCTCCTGTTCAGCATCTTGAACTCTGAAACTATAGTTGAGCTATACCATGCTCAGCATCATAATCTCAGCTTCATAATATGGATTTTCAATGCCCTCAAATTACTCCAGTAGACGTAATTCTATTTTCAATACTTTGTGTATGCGTGTGCATGCACTCAATACTGTGCACATCTGTTATCAGTTATCTTTCTTGGTCACTTTTCATCTTATTGCTGAAGCTGGGTCTACTACTAACCTGTAGTTCACTAATTTGGTTATTCTAAATAGCCAGCTTGCCCCAAATTCCATCTGTCTTTCAGTTGCTAGGGTTACAGAAAGGCCATCAAGTCCCCTTAGACTTTTAGGTGGTTGGCTGCTGGTAACCCAAATTTGCTTTAGTCTCTCTCACTTTAAACTATTATTAAACTATTTGTTAAATATATCCAAAACAGGGTTTCTCTGTGTAACGGCTTTGGCTGTCTTGAAACTTGCTTTGTACACCAGGCTGGTCTTGAACTCAAGAGATTCTCATGCCTCTGCTTCTCAAGTGCTGGGATTAAAGGTGTGTGCCACTACATCCAGCTATTTTTATATTTTTAAATTTATGTGTGTGTGCCTGATTGTATGCCTGTGCACCACACGTGTACAGAAATCCACAGAGGTAAGAGAGTTTTGGACCTCGTAGGCAGTTGTGAACTGCCATGTGGGTTCTGAGAATTGAACTCAGGTCCTATGCAAGAGCAGCCAGTCTTCTTAAAGGCAGAGCCACCTCTCTCACCCTCTAACCCCTTAAAGCCAGTCAAATTCTGCAGTGCAGGTTCAGGACAACTTTAGTGACATGACCCATTACCATTGGTCAGCTTTCCTTGCTTTTTAAAAGTTTTCATTTCTTGGGCGGGGGAGCTTGACCTCTAGCTCTGGGAAGAGTGGGAGGTGGGGAGGGAGGCAGGCAGAAGGAGACAGAGATTTTGTATTTCCTAAGAGTGTATCTGTTAAATATTAACATTTCTAACTGAAGTCTAGTTAAATCAGGAAAGAATTTTATATAGGTAGATTAAACTCATAGATACTAACACTATACCGAAACAGAAGGAAGGAGTTACTATAAAAACTGAGGTAATGGTTACTTTTGAGGACAGTGAGGTTATAACCAGACATCACACACAGGAGATTGTTGTGACATACAAGTTTTACTTTTAAAATAGTTAGAGCCGGGTGCTGGTGGCACAAGCCTTTAATCCCAGCACTCGGGAGGCAGAAGCAGGTGGATCTCTGTGAGTTTGAGGCCAACCTGGTCTACAAGAGCTAGTTCTAGGACAGGCTCCAAAAGCTTCTGATTAGTGCTTTGCCTACATGTATGTTTGTATGTATGTGTGTGTGTCTGAGATTAGAAAAGAGCACTGGATCCTCTGGAACTGGAGTTACAGACAGTCATGAGCTGCCACATGGGTACTGGGAACCAAACCAGGATACTCTTCAAGAGCAGCAAGTGCTCTTAACTTCCGAGCTACTTCTCCAGTCCCTAAGTGTGTGTGTGTGTGTATTCTGTTAACTCCATTCTTAAAGTATTTTGAAAATATTAAGCTGCCTCTAAAGGGTCACACAAACGACAAAGTCTATTCTATTTCAAAATGATGGACTGGGAATGTGGATCACATGATAAAGCATCTTGCCCAGCTCTCCTCAGGTCCAGGGTGAAACGCCCAGCACCATGACAAAATAGACAAAAAAAACCTATCTTGGTAATTTTCAAAACAAAGAAAAATAGTATAGAAAAGCAGAAACTAGTATTAAGCTCCAAGAGGTTTTAGTAATGTTTTAAATTACGTGTTGATAACAAACTACTATCAACAAGAGGCACCTTTACAAAGAAGTGTGTGACGCACACAACTGTGATCGCAGTGCTTAGAAACTGTAGGCAGCAACAGACTGAACAAAGGTACTTAAATCAATGAATGAAAAGAAAATACACCTTGTTATTTTTGTGAAGATCAATAAGAAATCAATACACAACCTTAAGATTAGAATAATTACATTTTTACAGCAATTGCACATAATAAATTCAAGCAAGAATATAATTTTTAAAAATAAAAGACAAAATTAAACCATTAAAAAAACATTATGCATAAATATCACAAATATAGCCTGAGAGTTTGGGGAAAGTACTAACCAGTTACTGCCAGCAGCTGTGAAACTCTCACCTCCATTTCCTCCCGGTGAGACCTGTCTCTATCCTCAAATTCACGAGTTCTTCTTCGAGCCTCTTCGAAGGCCTGTTGTGCTAATGCATCTTCCTGCTGTCAGGGTACATGAAATAATTATTTTAATTTTTATTTATGTAAAAAAAAATAAAATTTATGGATTTTTTTGTCTTTTTTTTTTAAATATTTATTTGTTATGTATACAATATTCTGTCTGTGTGTATGTCTGCAGGCCAGAAGAGGGCACCAGACCTCATTACAGATGGTTGTGAGCCACCATGTGGTTGCCGGGAATTGAACTCAGGACCTTTGGAAGAGCAGGCAATGCTCTTAACCACTGAGCCATCTCTCCAGCCCCTATGGATTTTTTTTTTTTTTAAAGGAAACCAACTGAAGAGTAATTCTCAAAATACTAACCCCCATCCTAATTTCAGAGGTACTTTTACTTTATTTTGTAGTCAGGATCTCATTATACCCTTGGCTGTTCTGAAACATAATCTTTCTGCTTTAGCCTCTCCAGTGCTGAAATTATGGACATTTGCCACCATATTCAAGGAATCTGAACCATCTTTGACCTGTAACCCTTTTTCTTACCTCCACAGACGGAATTGGCATTTGCTTCTTAGTGGACCCTTTAGTCTTCCCTTCATTTCTATAAACGTTTTCCTAATTTAGAACTCGAAGAGTTTTGTCTAGGTAGGCCTCCCAAAGACTACTCCTGTTCTATTCTGTATTGCACCCCTCTCCTCTCTCTCTGCCAGCCAAGTGTATCTAAAGCACAAGGTGATCACGACTCCTCACCTTAAAAGCTCCCTCACTGCCTACACTCTTCAGCAAAAAATGTTCAACTTTTGCCAGTCACATACCACTTAGTATATTATATTTTTGATGGTATATTGGCAGAATCTAAAAGATCCAGAGCAATACCAAAAAAAGCCATCAATATTCATTTTCTTAGAATCAGTACAAAGGTTGGTCATGTGACTTCTGCCAATGAGATAATAGCACAAGTCATCTAATGAAGTTTCCAAGAATTCTATATAAAAGAAATTTCACCATTCTTCCTTCCTGAGAACTGATACAACATCAGAGACCTCGCTATCTGGCAAATGGGAGGCTAGAGGAGCAGGTTTGCAGCGACAGGAAGGAAAGGATCTGGGCCTCTAAAATATAGTAATTGCTATTCCAGGCCCGAGTACGCTAAAGAGCTTTCTGTGTGCAATAAGTGGTTTGTCACTGTTAACAAGATTAATATTTATAATTTTCGGGGGCTGGAGAGATGGCTCAGCGGTTAAGAGCATTGCGTGCTCTTCCAAAGGACCCGAGTTCGATTCCCAGCAACCACATGGTGGCTCACAACCATCTGTAATGAGGTCTAGTGTCCTCTTCTATCAGGCATATATGCAAACAGAATATGTATCCATAATAAATAAATAAATATTAAAAAAAATATTTATAATTTTCAGTCAGGCCGCAGTGGCACACAACTTCAATCCCAGCACTCGGGAGGCAGAGGCAGGTGGATCTGTGAGTTCGAGACCACACTGGATTACATGGTGAGTTCCAGATAGCCAGAACTGTTACACCGAGAAATTCCGTCTCAAAAAACCAATCAATCAACCAACCAACCAAAGAACAACAAAAAAATAATTTTTATTTGCACTGTCTAATTCTTCTCTATTTTCCAAGGCCTGAAGCTCATTTGGACTTTGAGCAAGTAGTGCTGTATCACTGGCAAAACTCGTTATTGATTCGCACACCACCCATCTGCACGCCTCTCTCATCTTCCATGGCTGTTGCTATTGTTAATTCCAGGGATATATTAGAGAGTAGTAGAGAGAGGACACATCCCTGCAACACTCGCACCACTGTCTAAAACTGATCACTTAGTTCTCCACAAACTTCGACTGATGCAAAGGTATCTTTATAGGTATTTTCTAGTATTCTTATGATTTTCTCTGGGGACCTGTAGAACCTCATTGTTTCCCAAAGTCCTTTCCTCCAAATGCTATCGAATGCCTTCCTGAAGTTGATGTAACAGACATATAAGTCTTTTCCAAATTCTTTATATTTTTGTGCCAGTTGCCTCAAAGTGAAGACCTGATCAACTGTGTTCCAGTTAGCTCTGAATCTGCACTGGGTCTCTGCTAGGATTTCCTCTGCTCTGCCCTTGATCCTTTGGAGGATAATGGAGAAGATCTTGCTGCTATGACACAACAAATTAATGCCCCTATAATTTGAGCAGTCCAGCTTGTCCTTATCGCATATGGGAATTATGACTGAGTGCTTCCATTCTGTGAGAATCACTTCATGTTCCTATATCTCTCTGAAGAGCGAGGCCCCTGAGCCTACTGTGTATTATTGTACACTGCCTATCTACTATACTTTTCAGATTATTCTATAAAGCCTGAGGTACCTAGAAAAGAATGCTGTCCATTCCCAAGGTCATTCTATTACCAGTGAGGTATCAACTGGGACATACCCACTAATGACAAGGTATTCCTTCTGTTCTGTTCATTTATTTGCTCATTTTTTATTACATTTAGTGCATGTGCACACACTGCAGCTTAGATACAGAGGATAGAGAACAACCTGCAGGATTTGGTTCTCTCCTCCCACCACGTGTGGCTTGCAGATCTAACTCAGATCATCAGGCCTGGTGACAAATGCTTTTACCCTATGCCATCTCACTATCCCTTATTCACTTTTTCATTTATTTCACAAACATTTACTTAGCTTTTATTATGGGCAGGCCATTGTGCTTAGTACCATGAACATAAAATGAGGCAATACTGTTTTCCCCCATATAGCTGCTGGGGTTGGTGGCAAACAAACAAACAACCTAATTAACAAATCAACATAGTTATTAACTGTGATTATGTACAACAGAGGGAACTAGGAGGATAAAATGAGAGTGTATGAGCTGTGAGCTAATTCCCTCACAAAGTTGTTTATGAGATACTGTGTACTCTAGAAATGGGTATAAACTTTCCCCATGAAATGACTGAGAAGTATTACTAACTGCTGCAGAACAATGAGCTAGGAAAAACTTGAGAGTCCTCTATTTCCTAGCTCCAACTTCTGTCATGGTCTTTTCTGGTGAAAAGTGAGATGCGTGTGCAGTGAGCAGAACTCTCACTCTTAGCAAATGGTAAAATAGGAAAGCTGATAGGTATTACCAGTGTCATTCTGGTCCTTTAGCATTTCCCTTTTAAGGATACTACCTACTAATAAAATTACCTGCTCACCCATGAAAAGAGAGTAATGGTTAGGGACTGGTAACTTTATCGAGTCTCCTGGGCTGTGTGTCACACTAACTTAATAATCCACGGACTATGTGAAAACATGTATAAAGCAGCCACATGGGGCCAACATAACAAAGTTGGAGTGGGCCATCATGGCCTGTACCTGTAACCCACCATGTGGGAAGCTGAGGTTTGGAGTTAAGATACCAGCCTGAACAATATCAGGAGTCTTCAGAAACAACAAATCAGGGATAGAGAGATGACAGAGAGCACCGGCTGCTCTTCCAAAAGACCCAGGTTTGATTCCCAGAGTCCACACAGCAGCTCACAAACATCTGTAAACTGCAGTCCCAGGAATGTGATGCCCTCTTCTGGTCTCTGTGAGCACATGACATATAGTGCACAGATATACACACAGGCAAAATATCCCTACACATAAAACAACAAAACAACCCCCACACATACACACACAAAAGAGGCTAGAAAAAGGGCTCAGCAGGTAAAGTACTTGCTGTGTAAGCATGAGGACCCTGAGCCATATGTAGTTGGGCATACCATAGCACATCTGTAATTTTAGCTTCAGGGAGGTGGAGACAGGTCGATGCCTGAAGTTCATTGGCTAGCAAATCTATCCAAATTGGTGGATTTCAGGTTTTATGAGACAACATCCCAAAAAATAAGGTAGAGAACAATGGAGGAAAGTCTCTATTACTGACCTCTAGCCTCCACATTCAGACACATAATATGCAGCCACACCGATGTAACATAAACACGCATATATTTATGCACATGAAAAATAAAAACAGATTAAAAGAAGTCATGCCAACCAGATGGTGGCGGCACATGCCTTTAATTCCAACACTCAGGAGGCAGAATCAAGCAGACCTGAATTCAAGGCCAGTATGGCGCACAGTGTAAATTCCAGGATAGTCAGGGCTGTACAGAGAAACTGTCTCAAAAAACCAAAAGAGAGAGAGCATGACAGTGATTCTTCAGGCTAAATTTAAAGAAGGCTAAATTTTAAAAAAGAAAAGTCACATAGAATTTCTGGAATTTAAAATTACTGAGGTGGGTCTCTGAGTTTGAGGCCAGACTGGTCAACATAGGGAGTTCTAGCAAGGACTACAGAGAGACCCTTTCTCAAGAGGAAATGAGACAGAGACAGGGAATACATATGTATATGTGTCTGACTATGGTGTATGTATGTACATTCATGAAGGCCAGAAAAGAACAGAATGTTGGGTAGCTGATTCAACCACTCTTCATCTTGCTCCACCAAGACAAGATCTGTCACCAGCCTATATACTAGGATAGCAGCCACAAACCCTGGCAATCCTCCTGTCTCTAACATTCCTTTCTCCCAGTGCTGGGGTTACAGGACTACATGGGTCATGCTTGGCTTTTTATTTGGTTGCTGGAACACAAACAGGTATTCATGTGTCTCTCCAGTAGCAGGAAGTATATAAGACATAAGGAGCCAGTTGTGGAGATTCATAGCTATAATTCCAGCAAGTGTGGAGAGGTAGGTGGACCAGGAGTTTAAAACCAGCCTCTACATCATACTGAATTTGACATAAACATGAATGACCTTGAGATCCTTTTCAAAAAAAAAAGGAAAAGAAAAATTTGAAAACGAAGGCACAGTGATGCACACCTGTAATTCTAGTATTCAAGAGACAGAGGTAGGTAAAAGTAGGAGAATTATCATGTGGTATCAAGTCAGCCTGATCTATACACTGACTTACAGACCAGCCAGGGCTATACAGACACTACATTATCTCAAAATAAACAAAAGCAAAACCATACTCCTGTCTGACTAGTTTTGGGTCAACTTGACACAAGCTAGACTCATCAGAGAGGAGGAAATCTCTCCTTGGAATCAGGTTGTAGATAAGCATTCAGGGCATTTCTTAATTGATGATGATGGGTGGTACCCAGTTCATTGTGGGTGGTACCAAACAAACCCTTTCCCCCCAACTTTGGGTAGTGGTACTTCATTCACAGCAATGATAACCCTAACTAAGACACTACTACTCTTTAATTTTTAAAAAATTTTTATTATATTTTATTTGTTTTGTGGGTGTGTTTGTGTATATGGGCACACACCTATTATAGCCTGTGTATGGAGGTCAGGGGACAGCTTTTAGGAGTTGGTTCTCTCTACCACGTGGGTCCTAGAGACCAAACTCAGGTCCTCAGGCAAGGCAGCAAGTGCCCATTATCTGCTAAATCACCTCCAAAGCCCAAACACACTACTCTAAAGATAAGGTAAAATAGTTCCCCAAAGACACATTAGGAGCTAAATAAAAGGACTATCTCCAACAAAGCCTGAAATCACCCTACCTGGGCTCGCTCCTCATCAAACTCCAGGCAACCCATACCATCCAATCTGTGGAGATCAATCCAGCCCTTCCAGATAACACATACACCATTCAGAATCATGGGAGCCTTCAAGTACACCTAAAAAAAAACATAAAAAAAGACAGTTGAAAACCAACAAAAAGCCATCAGACCTAATGTATATGGATGTTTTGTCTACACGTACATCTACACACCAGAAGAGGGCATTAGATCCCATAGGACTATAGTTTCAGATGGTTGTGAGCTGCTACATGGATGCTGGAAATTGAGCTCAAGCCCTCTGGAAGAGCAACCACAGTGCTCTTAACAGCTAAGTTCTAGTCCCAGACATGCATTTTGTGTGAGTGTGTGTGTGTGTGTGTGTGTGTGTGTGTGTGTATGAGTGTTTTACCTGCATGTATGTCTGTGCACATTGTGTATACAGTGTCTATAGAGGCCAGAAAAAGGTGCTGGATCCATAGAACTGGAGTTACAGATGGTTGTGAGCCTCCCATGTTGATGAAAATCAAGCCTGGGTTCCCCGAAAGAATAGCCAGTCTTCTTAACTACTGAGCTATCTTTGCAGCCCCCAGATATGAAAAGGATTAAGCCTACTTGTCAATCTTGCAGCTTTCTTTCTGAGAATATATGATGATAAAATTAAGAATTACAGGAAAAGTACATATATTAAATTAAAGTCACCTCAGCGTGTCTCAAAATACCAAACCAAATCAAAAAAACAATACTCTGGGATGATGTAACACCTTAAGTCACTGAAAAATTTAAAATATGTAATATACTCTATGCATGAAGTTTAAAAAGGTATCAACAAATGCTACTTCAGATTTTCTAGATTCAAAACTATATATACATCTTATAAACCTTTAATACTATCAGAAAATCCCAACATCCCTACACGCTGAGGTGACTTGAACTTTTACAGATTTATATTTTCTTCTCTAAAAATAAGTCACCCAAAGTTTTCAAGTAAATAAGTAACACTAGAGCAAAAGTCACTTTAAGCAGAATTTTCAAACTGAGATTTCAGTCACATTAATTCTCACATTGGCTGACTTTTCTCAAGAATAAGGATGCACACAGAAAGAATGGTTACTAATATTACTCAAGATAAATATTATATTATGACACAGATATGAACCGAGAGAAATTTATCATAGTTCCTACAGTCTTCACCGCCCTAATGTCAAGCTGTCATGGATCTCAGAATGACTGTGAACTCAGAATCACTCTACTTCCACTTTAAATGCTGAGACTACAGTCAGTCACCTCACACACACCAGGCCTGGCTTCCCAGCACTCTAGAGGCAAACACAGGTAAATCTTTGCGAGTTCAAGGCCAGCATGGTCTAGAATTCCAGGACAGTCAGGGCTACACAGAAACCCTCTCTCGAAAACAGTAGCCCAGGCTGGCCTTGAATTGATCCTGGCTATTTTAAAAAACTGCTTTTCTTTATATCTTCTCTACCTCACTTAACACAGGCTTCTTAATGAAAATAAGCATAAATTTAAATAATTCACTGCCTTGAATAAGATATTTAAAATTCAGAGGAAGTGGAACTTCAGTGAATTTTCAAAACTCCAAATAACCAAACACATCTTCAAAAGTGAGTTTTTCACTTACATATACAAAACAAGTCATCACTGGATCAGTCTAGTGTTTTATGAACAAAACTGGCATTTTTATTACTTACAGGACATCAGAGTGGTAGGAAAGTTTCTCATTTTAAGAGAAAAGCTGGCACGCCTTTAATCCCAGCACTTAGTAGGCAGAGGTAGGCAGATATCTGGGAGTTCTAGGGCTAGCCTGATCTACAGAGTGAGTTCCAGGACAGTCAGTGCTACATAGAGAAACTCTGTAAAACAAAACAAAACAAAAACACCCAGACCAAAACAAAGAGAGAAAAGCTGAAATTATCCTTTCTTTTTCATTCAATTCAGCAGTCTTCTATGTTTTTCTCCTTATGCTAAGAACCTTTTTTAAAATAAATGTTTCAATAAACCCGAAGAATCAATTTCTACTTATAAAAAAAAAAGAAGGCTCTCCAAAAACATAAGGTTCTAGTTTTCCTCCTATTTGAGCAAGGGAAACAGTCTGCAGTTGTAGTTAAAACCGTTTAACCACATATTTCCTTTTGTTCTGATAAGTGCTCATTCCTTTCTACATTATAAATATATTTATTTAGTTATCCTTTTTTGAGAGAGTCTCATAAAGAGAGGCCCAGCCTGGCCTCTAACTTGATCTGAGGCTGAGAGTGACCTTGAACTCCAGATCCTGTGCTTCTGTCTTCCTGAGCTGGTGAACACACATACTCACCCCCAAGTCCAGCCACATTAACTCATCGGGTGTGCACCTTGAGTCCAGTGACTATGCTAACCTCCCACTCAGTACCCCAGAGAAACCTAACAACACTTGACTTACCACACCTCCAAAGAAGATTTCGCTCCTTACAGCACTTACAGAGAGCGTGACATTTCACTACCGAAACCTCCACTATGCTAAATTCTGATACCAATCATGGCTAAAAAGGTCAACGTCATGTTACTTTTTTTTTTTTCCGAGACAGGGTTTCTCCGTAGCTTTTGGTTCCTGTCCTGGAACTAGCTCTTGTAGACCAGGCTGGCCTCTAACTCACAGAGATTCGCCTGCCTCTGCCTCCCGAGTGCTGGGATTAAAGGAGTAGCCACCACCGCCCGGCTTTCCCGTTACTTTTAAACCAGATTTGTGTTCTTCATAAATGGTTTATATATTTTAGAACTTCAGATTCTACCATTTCTGAGCTTACTCATATTAACTAACATCCATAGTTAAAAATATTTCTCTTATGAAATTCGTTTTTTAAAGCCCATCTTTTACTTCTTTATAAATCTTTCATGAAAAGGAGACCACCACGGATCTGTTTTGGGAAATTCCTAAATGGCTTTAGAAAAATGGATACATTCATTATGAAGAATAATGTCTGGACTCCTAATTTAAAATAACATCTAGATGATCCTGGTGATTTATTTAATGATCACACTGAAATAAACAGTTTTATGCATAATCTTCAAAGTAAATGTTTGCTGCTTTTATATATTTATGAAAACCAGGCCTCAAAGTCTGAAGAAAATATACTGCTGTCTCTTAACAGCTGGTATTTTGTAATATTAATTCAATAATGTCATTTAAACACAAAGACATTTATTTCATTGAAAATGATGCCTTATTTCAAACTTTGAAAAGAAAGGTTTTATATGCCCCCAAATGAAGCTCAATTGTCCTGGGAAAAAATATGTTATAGAAATGGATTCTACAAAGCCTTAAAAACTAGTAAACATATACAGCCAATCACAGAAGAAACAAAGCAGATTATCTTTCCAAAAGCTAAATACTACAGAACAAGACTTCACAGATTTAAAAGTGACTATTAAAAAAAAAAAGGTAAAAGCTGGTTTATTAGAATTTAACTCAAGATCTAAACAGCAATATTTTTGATACCATATTGAATCCAAGTTATATAAATCATTTTATTTTTAACTTACGGCTTCAAATTCCCCATCATTCAAGCCACAAAGAAGTTCAATAAAAACATATTTGTATCATCCAACCATATTATTAATACAAGGGTATATTATTCGAACATAAAAAGAAATGAATGCTGGACATGATGGCACATGTCTCTAATTCCAGCACTTAGAAGGCTAAAGAGGAAGGACCACTGCAAACTCAAGGTAAGCCTGTACTACACAGGATGACCATCTCAAAACAAACAACCCCCCCACACAAAAAAAAAAAAATGAAAATCAAAGAATTGCCTCTATAACACAGATGAACCCTAAAGCTACTATACTAAGTGAAGTAAGTCAGGAAAAGGCCAAAATTTATCTATCTATCTATCTATCTATCTATCTATCTATCTATCTATCTATCTATCTATCTATCTATTTATTTTCGAGACAGGGTTTCTTTCTCTGTGGTTTTGGAGCCTATCCTGGCACTAGCTCTTGTAGACCAGGCTGGCCTCGAACTCACAGAGATCCTGCCTCTGCCTCTGCTGGGATTAAAGGCGTGCGCCACCATAACAATACTATGAGTTTAAATCTAGAGGAAGGGAAGAGAGATTCCTTGAGGAATAAACAGGAAATAAGGACTGATGAAGAACTTGGAGAAAGTCCAACTTTTCAATTTGGGCAGACGTAAATAATGCAGAGCAGACGATGAACAGCCATTACTAAACGAGAACATGTATTATAACCATAGGGCGAAGTTCTCCTTTGTTGACTACACCCACTTCTGCATGCCCAAGCTCAGAAAATCCATAAGGAGGTTTGAATTTAAATGTATATTTCAGTAAGACCAGAAATTGCAAAATTCCAAATAGTTTACTTTTGAATCCAGGTGCATTTTTCTAAAGAATATTACTTTCATTAGCTTTTCAAAGAGGCACGCAAAGCAAAAAAGAATTCAGTATGACGGTAAAAACTCTGCTAATCCTCCTTCATAGATGGACTCCAAGTACTCTATAGAATAACAGACCACCATGAGATGATAAGTACTCCTCCTTCCAGTAAATGAGGGGAGAGACACAGAGAGAGAGAGGGGGGAGGG